ATTGCATTTGAAATGAATTTAAATTTTATAATGGTTTTTAGTTTTATAATCATCTATAGAATCTATATTTTAACACATAATATTTTGTTTATAACTGAAAATTATGTGAAAATTAGTGCTTCTGTTGAAGCTTAAGATAACAGATGCTGAAAATAGCTTATATAACTTGTTCTACTTCTAAAATATGAAAGGAACATTAAAGCACTGTCAGTGAACCTTACACCAGTGAAGTATCACAGTTAAGAATCCTATTTTCATAGTACATAGATTTATCAAATTAGTGCTAAAACCCAGAAGCAGTACTGATGAAACATCAACAGAGTCATTAGTTAACACTCTGTTTCTACTTTATGGTCATGACCAATCATTTATTTATTTTGAGAGAAATGATTTTCATTAAATTGTTAGGGCCCATTTGAAAAAGAGAACATTATATGATATAATAATTGAATACCGTCTGCCTTGTACAATAGCGGGTTTCTGGACCAAAGGTAATTCTTTCCTTTCTAGGGGTCTGGAATGATGAGAGTTTTTACTGAAAATAATCAGTGGCTAATCTCTGAAAGATTAAGTACAAATAAACTTGAGATGCACTATTTTGTGTCTGTGAAGCCCCAACTTTGGATGTAGCCACATTTTGCTTCTTTGCTGTAATTTATATGTAGTATTAATCTGAAGTTTCGCTTTATTTCCTGAAATAGTTCTTTCTTTCATTAAAATAACTGTTAGGTAGCACGGTGTACTGCTCATCCCAAGTCATGACTAGATTTCTCTTTGTGTTTGATCCAGGCTTTCAAGTCAGCTCACATAAAAATGTGGAGGCTTTCCCACATCAGTGAGGCCTCAAACTTTGTTTTGATTATTTCCATTTGTGGGGAAATTTCCTTACATATGGAAATGCAGGAAACATGATCTGGAGATCCTAGAATCTCACTGATCTGTTGTGTAATGCATCTGTCGTGTAATGCACTGTCATGTTGTTCCTCAGCTCTCCACGTTTTGATGAGGTCTTCTCAAGAGTTGCTCTAAAAGTTTCGACAAATATTTTACAGCAGAACCAGGTATCTAGATCTGCCTTTACACAGAGTGGTTTAAACAGCAGAGCTAAATCTTCACACCAAAAATGGAGTTCTCATTGACATAACTTTGGTTTTCATGAATGAAATGTTCTTGACAATATTCTTGGTGAGATTCATGATAAATAAATTCTCAAAAGGAAACACCCACACCCATCTGCATTTTCAAGAATTAGATTCCAGACTGACGAAGATGGGAAGCTGGTCTACTTTATAAGAATTGAATGGGCAGTGCCTCCCAGGTAGGGGAGCTAATTTCAAACCTGTATAGCCTTCAAAGGAAGTGATTACTCGGCTTTCATCAGTTTAAGCCTTGAATAGGTCTCAGTGTTCCCATGGTAGGAACTTGTTGTGATAATGATTTATTGAAATATTTTTCCTGCCATATCTAAGGTCATTTGACTAAATCTGTTTATCTTCTTTGATCTCCATCAAGAATTTAGTCTGCCAGACCAGACTAAAGAGAGCTTGTCATAATTTGAAAATGCAAAAGTACTGACTAAATATAAATAAAGTGCTTCCTTTCCTCCATTTTTAGAGGAAGTTGTAGCCTTTGAATTTTGAAGGATGCATTTGCTTTAGAGATTCAGTTTCCTCCTGTACTTTCAGTTGTAGTATCACTGTAGTGATGGTCTAGAGCTCTCAAAGTAACACACTCATGCTATAATGGTTACATTTTTCAGCTTCTCAAAAGTTGTAATTCTTACTGAGTAGAACCGGTTATCTGTAACTTTTATAAAGTTTTGTGGCGAATTTTGCCTCCAATACCTAAGATGGATTGATGACCTCACAACTGTGAGAAACTCCATCCCTGTCTTCACACGACAGCAAAGAAGCAGCTGTTACTCCCACATCTTTATATGACTTTTTTTTTTTTTTTTTTTTTTTTAGTGCTGGAGGTAGAACCCAGGGTCTTGCATATGCTACAAAGTGCTGTACCACTGGGCCATATCCCCCAGCCTGGTATAAACATTTTCAAAGTGATATGTATTTACATATACCTGTACTTAAAAACCCTTCCAAGAATTCTAGCACTAAGACTGAGAGTAGTTTGATATAAATTCTTTTGCCTGGCATCAATAGATATTGAGAAGGAGGTGATAAGGTAGACATGTTTAACTCACAGATGTTCATGGGACTATTCATTTTAAGAGAAAAAATCATTAGCACCCGCAAGAATTATCTAATAGACACCAAGCCAGCTGTAAGCTTGCAATGGTCTTTATTTTAATAACATGACCTAACTTCGGCATCATATGAGGTCATCAGCATTATAGTCTAGATTCAAATGTTGTGTCCTTGTCCCCCCTCCACTGGTTTTAAGCACCTTTATACATCACATGAGCCCTTTGCCACACCCACTTCTTTGTCCAAAAAGACTTCCTGCTTATCCAGTTTTATCCAGTGTTGACAACTGGCTGTGGATTCTCAGGAATCTAAAATAAGGATTGCTCATCTACCTACAACTAGCCATCTGGTGTTTTTGTAAACCTACAAGAGAGACTTCTTTGAGTAGTATGTCGTATCTTGATAAAAATTAAAGAAGCCTATTAGCTGTATAATAAACCCTATTTCAGGAAAATGTATTATAAAATAATAATCATGATAAAAACACAAATGAATAACATCTACCCCATGGTTCTTATTTTGTAGTTTTAACTGTCCTCTGAGAGACTAATTCACTTGCCTATAGACATAAGGTGCAGGGCTAGATTTACAATCCAGGTCACACAACTAGCTGTCCTATATCCATTTATTAAAAATAGTGATAATGACAATAGTCATAAGAATAGAAGTAACCAAGATAAATCATAGTGGCTGATTTGTGAATCTTTAAAAATCAGATCTGGGGAAGGAAGTTTAACTTTATATAGAAGTGGGCAACCAAAATATGTTGATTCATTTGTTCTCAATGTTTCTCTGTGTCCACTAGTGCTATTTAAAGATCTTCATATCATTGATTGCATAGTTGAAGAAGTATATGAGAAGGCTTTTAGCTGCTATAGAATAATGGTAACTCGAGAATGGAAGAGTTTAACCTGAGCATTTTTTATTAGGTATTTAAAAACTGTATATTTTTAGGGCTTTTCTGTCACAGAAGAAGTGAGTTGATTCCTCACACAAATAAAAGTAGCCATAGAGTATTTTCTTTCAATATAAAGTACTTTTTAAAATGGAATTAGGAAATTTAAATATTCACTATGTTAGTTTGAAAAAACATTAGATGAGTCAACCCCTGAAGGCATATTAGCTCAGATTTCTTTTTAGATTATTTTAATGATAATGAAAAATTCAATAATCTATTATAATGAAATCCAGAGTATATACTTTTGGTAAAAGAAAGTAAACCATTGCCTGATAATGTGTCGAATTACTTTTTTCAAGTTATTTTGCATAAAACTGAATTATTTCTTAAATGAAGAAATCTTGCAGTCCCTGAAAGCAAATTATTTCCCTTTTATCCTCATGCTTAAATAATATGTTACATGCCAAAATATTCTTTTACAATGATTATTTTGTCATAAGTAAGAAATTCATTTGATTTATACTAATTTTTGAATTTTTTCTACTAAACCATTGCAAAGACTGTCAACCTTCTAACAGTAGTACTAGTATTAATTTTTCTAACCATGCATGATTCATTTGACCCCACGGTAGCTATAGCTTGCTTGCCTTGTTTTTTCCCTGAAATTAAGTGTGTAAGAGCACAATAAATATCTGCTCTACATACCAAGATAGCAAAACAACTTAAATCCTAATAAATTGTTAACCTTTTATTATTTACACATGGATTGTGGAGATACATACATATACGACTTCTCTGAACTTTCTCTGTTGAATGTGCACTGTTGTTAAACTACTTGTTTTTTCCCTGCCTGCTCTTTGAAGAAGTCAATTAGGAATAATGGGAAACAAGGGGTAGGCAAAACATCGCAGTGCGGTGTTATTTCCATCTGTCTGGGAATATTTCAGCCAAAAGTTTATTTTGGGAAAAAAAAAAGCCATAACGCATACACACATACAAAACCACAAATACTTTGGCTGCAAATTATTCTGCAGTAATGTTGCCGTGTTGTTGCCTGTGTCTGTTCCCCTCTGTACAGCTGCCACCCACCCATGCATGTGTTTGCAGATTCTCGTTTGTGTGCTTGTTCATGACCTAGCTCATCCTCCTCCTGGTTTAGGTTACATTTATTCAAGAGAACAAGAATTTATGGGTATGACTGTTGGCTGAAAAGCCCTTCCCCACTTTGGAGTCTTCTTTTAAACCACATCTTCTGCTGATAGCTCTCTGTAGCACAAAGTGCTCAATAGTCAATCTTATCTCTTACATGTTACTTAGCTGTATGTACCGTATTTCCTTCATGGATCTTGGGAAACAATCGAATATAGTGTTGTTTCATTAGAAATGGAAGGATTTGGTTTGGATCATCTTTTTCTTTTTAGAATTAAATTGTCTTAGTTCTGCTCACCAGATGAGCAGGAATGAAGATATCATAGTCTCTGTGTCCACCTTCCCTCTACTTTTTGGTGGAAAGAAAAGCTAAAAGTTGGGGCTGGGGATTTAGCTCAGCTGCAAAGCGCCTGCCTGGCAAGCGCAAGGTCATGAGTTTGGTTCCCGGTACCGGAGAAAAAAACCAAAAAGAAAAAAAAAAAGAAAAGCTAAAAGTAGCAATGTGTAATCAAACAAAATAATCAATAAGAAAAGAAACTCTTCATGTGAAAATGTAATGTAGTTTTAAAACAACTTTTGCTAAGGTAGCTGAACTGTGAGATTTTTCCATTTCGCCTTCTCAGTGACAGAATACCCATGATTCTTGGTCATGTTCTCTCCAGAGTTAATTTCTGGGCCATTGGTGACTGTACTTTCTATTGTTTTAAACCTTTGTCTTAACTACATTCTTTAAAAATGTAATATTGAAGGCACATAATATTGAAGATGACTCCAGGATGAACCCTGAGTTTGCAGATCGACTAAAACAGCTCGATAAAGAGGCATCTTACTACCGCGACGAGTGCAGCAAGGCTCAAGCAGAAGTGGACAGGCTGCTGGAGATCCTCAAGGAGGTAGAGAATGAAAAGAATGACAAGGATAAGAAGATTGCGGAACTTGAGAGGTAAGTTTTACAGCCATACGGATGACGAGTGAGCACTATTTGCTCGGTTGCCTGTTTCACATCGTGATTGACTGGAATGCATGTTTGTATTGTGAGTTAGAAATAAATTATATATGAGTCATGTGGTCGGTAAAAGGGGATGTTGTGTTTTTATGGGGCATGACGATGGCAACTAGCTTATATTGGAGTGAGTACATGCTTCTCTGGTGTTCAGGAAAGCAGTGGTTGATTTCCTTGAGTGATATCCATCACTGAGCATTTGTGCCAACGAAGTTATACCAAAAAACTGGCACATTGACTCTCTGAAACGTCAGTTCTTTCCTTTCAAAGATGAGCATTTGTGGTTTAGGTTTGTCTTGATCCAAAGAATATCCTGGGATATACTTAGACATTTTTCAATCAAGATGGAGGGGTTTCCTATCTTTTGAGTGTGTTTGGCACACCACAACAAACTCATCCTTGAGATTTATCTTTTCAGGAGATCTTATAAGCCCTTAGAAAGTACATATGCTTGACTATCTACTTGATAGCAAAAGGCCCACTTGATAGCAAATTCTGTCTAAAACAAAAGGGATTAGATTAGGGTTCCAAAGTATTTAGATTTTAGATAAATTATATCCATATTATATTTATGTGTCCTATAGTCTCTAAAATAAGCTATCAATGCTTTTTTCTATACTCCATATAAGGAAAGAATTTTCTGAGTAATCTTTCACAATTCCATAACCTCTGAGGATTTCTCATTGGTTCAGCAATAAGGCAGAATTTGTCTTTTCTAGATTTTGTCCATATGGAAAAGATCAGCAAATTTTGAATGAATCAGCGAACGTTTGCCAGCTCTGATCAAGATATTTGTGAAGCCCTAACAGACTTTAAGACATGCAGAAAAGCTCTCTGTGGTCTTACAGAAAGCTAATGGGCTTTAGTGAAAGACCTCGCCTCAAAGTTTGCATCTGCCTTATACCTGCTGTGTGGCTTTGAGTCTTGTTAGAAGTGAATCTCTAACAACCTATTAAAATGTATCGTGCTTTTCAAATACCTACTGCTCATGTAAGGTGGGATAATTATATCATTATTAACAGTTGAATGCTAAAATAAGTAAATCAGTTCCCAATATTAATTGGCTCTGTATTAAATGGATGGGTTAATTCCCAATAAAACTTCAACATATCCAAATATAATTCATGCAAACACCAGATCAGTTACTATTTCTTTTAATAATCTTAGCATTAGCTTGATGATAACTCAGGCAACTTTGATTCAGTATGATCAATGTTAGCATTTAAGGCAAGAATTTCAATTTTTTCCTAAATTAATTATACAAATAAAAATCTTTTTAGGCTTTGTTTTAATTTTAAAATGTAGAAATATTCTGCCAGTGTTCTAGTTCTTAAAAGCTGGAACACTGCTGACTTGAGGCTTCTCTATTTACATGAATCTTTGCAGTTCCATTGTGCAACTGCAGTTTTTCTTTAAGGAAAAAAAGCAATCATGAAATCACAGAGCAATTATGACCATATCTTTTTTTAGTTAAAAAACAAAAAGACAAAACTGAGCTACATTCTGGAAATTGGTCCTCTGAAGTACCAGAAGGATGGGAAACTAGAAACTAGAAGCATCTAGTCTACTGCTCTGAGAAGCAGTGAGCCTTATGATACTTGTCCTACAAAATAATACCAAAAATATTAGTGATGGTAATCACAATCAGTGGCATAGAGTTTGTGTGTTTTATGTTCACCATGTGCCAGGGCCTCTGTTAAATTTTTAACTTGTAATGTTGTGTGCCATTTGACCTTACCACACAGAAATATCATAACTATGATAATTTTGTAAATGAGAAGCGATGATGTATGCAAATTAAGTAACTTCCCTTTCTTTGTGTGTGTTTGTGTGTGTGTTTTTGAGACAGGGTCTCTCTGTGCAGTTCAGGTTGGCCTTGAGCTCACTTTGTAGCCCAG